TTGACTTGTTGGCATTGCAAAAAAACTGGCAGCCTGCTCATTGTCGGAGGGAAGACTTGAAATAAATTCAGCAATCCTGCAAACTTATTTCCATAATACATGCATATATATTAAAACAAAAGACTAACCAAGCAGTTTTGCCAGAAAGGCTTATGTTTTATTTGCAAGTGTCAAGAATGGTGTTGCAATGCGAGTAGTTTTATTCATGACTTCTGAGAGTTTGCCAGATCTGGCAAGACAACTGCTCTTGTCCTCCTTCCCTGCAAGTCTCCCTACTCCATGCTATGGTGCAAACCCCTACCAAGATGGGATGGAGGAAAAGTTGCAGAGAAACCTCCCCACCAAGGATGTCTCCAAAGTCTGCTGCTGAGAGCTGGGGTCTGACACACATCCCCACGCTCCTCACCACGACCAGTGGGAAGTCCAGCAGGAGCCACTGCCTCAGCTCCTCCTTGGAAGCAGGAGAAGCCCACGAGTGAAAGGGAAAAAAGGGGATTGTGCCAGCTCAGTTCCCAGCAAGGATTAATGCTATCTTTAAAATTAGGAAATTGATTCACAGAAATCTCTGCTAAGAAGCTATTAACATTGCCTTATACTTAATATTTTCCTTGCAAGGAAATGGAAGGCGAGGCATTTACCTCTTGATGCCTCAAGTTTCCTGGCACGCTTCTTTATCCCTGTCTACACAATGCCAACCACAACCTTGAACACAGCCCTGGTGTGACAGCAAGACTTTGAACTTTCCCTTTTAAAAATATTCTCCCTTGACATATCCAAAATGATCACTAGGAGCTGGAACAGGCCAGCCAGAGCAGACTGGGGTGATGCTCCAGGTAAATTATACAAGGGCATTATTATACTTCCAGTATTTTCTCCCCTAATCTCTCAAGGCAGAATCACTCTGCTTCCACTTCCAAAATCTGAGTAAGATGAGCTGTTGGGAAGAGAAATGACAAAACGAACAGAGCAATGTCCATTTTAAGCTCCTTGTTTTCTCTCATTCTTTCAGGAGAAACTACTGCAAACCCTGAAAAGTATCCAACCCTTCCTGCCACGATCGGTGCTCGTATGGCAAAAGACTCCATTTCTGACCGAAGAGATGGACTGAGACATGAGAAACCTCAACAGCTGCCCACCAGGGTTTGGGAGGAAGGGAATTTTGCCCTCTGTTTTTGATGTTTTTCTCCTCCTAGGACCCACCAGTGAGGATAACTTCAGATAACTCCTACACCAGTTGGATACAGTTTTCCTGGCACAGCTTTTGAGGACAAAAATCACACCTGATACTGGTTTTCTGAACTGCCTCATTTCTAAGCATTTTTCTTCTCCATTAGTTTGCTGATGAACACTGAACTAGAAATCATGGATGACTTCAAACTGCTCCCTAAGAATACAACAAAATAATGCTCTTTTCCAGCATGGCAAGACTGAGTGGAGCTCCTGCTAAGCAGCCTTTGGTTACTTATTTTTAAAATTAATGATTTGTTCATCTCTGACAACAAGAGCTAAAAGCAACCCTTGCCCCCAAGAACTTAGTGCGTGAAAAACAAGCAGAAAAGTACAACCCTGAATAATCCAGAGGAGGAAAAGCAACTGTTCACCTTTCATTTCTGTCATCATAAACACACAACTTCTGAGTTTTGGGATAAGTGACATTTTCAGAAGGAACGGAGTGGGTGAGAGGGACTGCGTGCTTCCCACTAGCATTCTGGAGCCTGCGCCAACCATTACTTAAGCCTGTTAGTATATTATTAATCGCTTTCATAATGATCTGCATTTCTCTAGCACAATGACCACAGCACAACCTGAGACCATCCTGCTCTGCTCAGTGCAAGCAGAGGTGGAACATCTGCACATAGCTTTATCTAGCTCCTTACACAGATTTTGTGTATCTCCTAAAATACTCCTGACAATTGTGGCTGTCCATCACTGTCAACACTTTCTTCCCTACTTCAGTTCTGACTCTAGTCTTAATGCAACTACAGAACACACATGTCCAAGAAATACTTCTCCAACCAGACTAACCTACGGATGGGTCAGTCTTCCCTTCACTTCCTCAGGCTCTTTTTTCTTCAGCCAGCTGAACAAAAACTGTTTTAAGTAGGCCATCAGCAATTCTTTTTTTATTCCACAACTACAGATACAGGAATATGCTGCTCTTCTCTCCCTTTCTCCTGCACCAAAGGACATTCTGCTTTTTTTTTTTCCTCCTTTTCTTTTTTAGATTAGACTTTGGAGAGCCTTTAGCTTATCTATATGAAGGGTTTTCCTAAACTGTCCCCAAGAAAGACTGTTGGAGAATGTGGCATCAGACATTCAGATAGGCAGCTAAATTATTTTAAACAACTATTTTTACTATTGTCTACTAAGACATTCAGCGTATTTGCTCTGTTTAGGAGTTCATCATCTTCAAAGCCTCTTATGAACAACAAATTCTCACAATCTCTCAAAGGCAAGTTAGATGTGTGTGATTGAGTTTCTGAATGAGGCGATCGCACACAGAACAAAGAGCTCAACACTGTTATTTTAATGGATTTTCAATTCTGTTGCCAGGTCAGTAATCCTTTTTCTCCCAGTGTCACTCAGAGACTTCAAAAACCACAGCTGGGGTGGAATAGTCAGTGTTTGTTTTATCTAGAAGGACATCATACGGCATGGGTCTTTCTAAGCAAATCAATTTATCTGCTGTTGACAGCAAGTATTCATCAGTGGTGAAGCTGAGTTGTACTACTCAGGAGGTTACTAAGAGTGCACTAGGCACACGACTTCCAGCTATCAATTTGACAAACATCCTAAACCATTTTATTTGCCTTTATTTCCCTTCCTGAGGCTTGATAATCCATCAAACTTACTGTTTGTAGCATGCTGCGCAGCAGTGCTGGAAAAGGCTCTGATGCAATAAAAACAGAATTGTTGTTTATGATAGAGAATCATCAGCAGGAATATGGAGCTAAAAAAAAAAAAAACAACCAAAAAACCTCCTATACTTTCAGAAAAATTTCCCTCTGTGGTAGGAAATGAAGCTCTGAATCAGGATATAAGCTTGTGCTTTATTTCAACGCATGCCTTCATCCAGCCACACACTGCAGCACTACCTGGAAGACAACTGCTCTTCTGAATCGAGAAAACCAAGTAACACCTAGTTACGTATTCCTTCCAGCATCAGATATCAAAGGACCATTAGCTGCGTGGATCACTTTTCTTTTAATAGGCAGGGAAATGGAGGCAGGCAGATGAGATGCTGGTCTCCAAGGATCCCAACAAGGCTAACGGCAAAGCTGGGAATAGACCCAAGGTCTCCGAATGCTGAATCAAGCCGTGCCGCTGCTGCTCTGACTCATCCCAGGAACTGTTTGCTAAACACTATGAAGCTTTTCAGAAGTTCTGCATGCTGTGTCAGCTATTCGGGTAGAAGCAGTGATTCCAAGTACTCTAAGGTCAACTCATCAGCCTTGGCATTGATCTTTTCATGAAGGCCTAATGTTTGGAAGCTGGTGATGGTTATTTCTGGAATCTGCCTACATTTACAGTAGTTGAGATTTACTGGGAGATTAATAATCATACTAAAAGTCTGTAATCCTGCTGCTAGCACAAGAGGTAGTACATCTTCCTAACTCATTTGTTACGTTCTGACAGCAAAACACAGGATTTGTTTTGCAAAAAAACTTTGGCGAGGGGATGAGCAGAGCTTTAAAACCCTGTCCTAAAGGAGTCTGCAGCCAAGGTGTAACAACCTATTTTTACCTTATTTTTGGCTATAAAGATTGTTTCTTGCTCTTTTCTCCAGTGAGCAGAGATGCAAAAAAGCTCCTGTGCATGATCTATGCAGTGGATGCGACACGCTGTTTGAAAAAGTCATATCCCTTACCTTTTTCAGGAGGAAACTGAAGCTAAAACTGTATCCATTTATCAGTTACGTATCCAGTAGGATTACTTAAGCACCCAGGGGAAGAAAGTCAAGATAGATGAGGTATTTTAAGCAGAGATAGTACACACTTTACTGGCTTTCTGGTAGTCTGTAATGCTTAAGATTCGCAAGGAATACGATGACTAATGTATCCTGAACAAAAACAGACCTGGCCATTGCATTCCTTTCAAGAACTCCACGTGGAAGAGGAGAATAACAAGTCTTAATATTTATTTACACTGATACCGCACGCTCTCTGCCTTGCCATCTGGGTCCAGCAGAAAAGCAGATAGGACAAGACAGTATCTGGCACAAAAAGCCAAGCAAAACACGTCCTGGTAATAATTTAGAACAAAGACTTTGCTTGACATTTTCCTCTCCAAAGTGGGAGCAGGCAACAGGAAAGCATTAACTGCTCACATCCTCTCAAAAGGTGTAGGAGGAGCAAGCTCCTCGGATTTCAAAGCAATATAATGGCACCTTCCCACCACCACAAAAGTAGGGCTAAATCTCAGTAATACAATAAAATTCAAGCTGTAAATCTCCCCTAGAGTAAGCAATCATGTTATATACAATCCACTCTTGCCATAAACAATTTGTGTATTGCTCAAAAGGCTATGATCTGTTTTGTAGACTTTTCCAAAAAACACCTAAGCACAGACACAGCAGTAACACTCACAATCTGTGCCTTTACCCTCCGTATGATACCTGCTCTTTTCAAAATCAAACAGTGGTCAAACACTTGGCAATTTTGTTTTCACTGTTGAAGAAAAATTAACAATTATTCCCGTAACTATGTCATATCATAACATTTGTAAGGATAAAGTATGATGGCTGGGAAAGGTAAACTCTCAGAGTAGAAAGGGAGTGTATTTGATGTAATGGGAATTTCATTTTACAGAAATAACTTTCCTCGGCTAATAAAACTTGTTCCAGAAGTTTTTCTCTAGACTCTCTCCCAGTAAGCATTTGAACGCACACATTTTCCAGTGCACCAAGTGATGTAAGGCAGGAGACCTTCCAACCGGTTCCACTAAAACTGACATTTTTCCCAAGGACCAAAAAAAAAATCCCAAGACAAATGTTTCCGTACCTGTGAAGCAAGTCTCCGCATGGCCTCTTCCTGGCGCCGGCGCATTTCGGGAGTCCCCGGGCAGCTCCCGCTGGTGATTGACGAGTGAGCAGAAGGCGGCTGGGTTAAGGGCAGCTCTCGGTTTGCATCCACATCTGTCCCAAGGAAAGAGGTTATGAATTGCTGCAGGACAAGCACGACCGACATTATTATTGCAGCCTAGGCAGCTGCTGTTTTCTAGCAGGTCATGCATGGCAGCTAAAATACTTTCCACAAATACTCCGGTTAGGATTTCAGGCAGCAAGAGATTGTGACACCAGCCAGCCAGGCCAGAGGCTCCCCAAGAAACTTCTTTTGGAAGTAGCACTTTTGGGAAGGACCGCTAAGATAAAGCATTGAGCTTGCCTTATTCATCTTCTCCACTGTAATTTCATTGACTTTAAAATAATCACAATAATTGAGTGAATTGTGTGCTCTCAAAGTTATGCTCTATCTTCAAGTTTGGTACATTTTAGCGCAGTGCTCTCCTACTCTGCGGTTCTGCCAATAGATCTTCCCTCATTATGAACTATTGCTGGTTAATTTGGTTCTGAGTCCTTCAGTGGAGACAGCCAATTTTTCTGAATTATGTACCAATTTTATAACATAAATAAATGGAGAGCCACAGCTAACATATTCATCTGAAGCCCATTAATGTAATCAGAGGGAACGAAGCAGGAGTAGCACCAGGATCTGGAAAAGGCTTGCAAGCAAATAATGAATTATACCGGAATCATCTCTGTCAAGTTTAACTGCTTTCTATTGCGTTTTAGCCATTTCTTTTGCCTGGCAAAGCAGAAATTGGCTTTACTGGCAGATTGTTACAACTGTCCATTCACCTGGCCTTTGTGGGTAACATTTTCAAGCAACTCTTATTTTTGCTCATCAGTACTCATACAGAGTATTTTTCAATGATGCTAAAACATGCTGTACCTGATGTTGTCCAATTACTGATTTCTTTATTTTAGGAACATTTTAAAAGCAACAGTCCTCTTAAGTGCAGTCTGTACTAGCAGAGGATTTTCCTGAATGGATTGCTGCAATGCATCCTTGAGCTTGACTTGAAATCATAATGCAAACAATGACCCATTTAATGGCAAACAACAAAGGAGGATGACTACTGCCTACATAATTAAGCCCTGAATGTGTTAGCAGTGATGCACATTTTTGATTTTGAGAATGCAGCAACACCTCCACCTGTATTATTTTTCTGAGACAAGAATTAAGAGTATGAGGCTCTATTTATGCCAGTTTACTTATGCTGATAGCACAACTGCTGTAGTATAGTCAGGTGACCTGATTAGCATTTATTATTAAACACAGATTTTACTAAGCATAATACTTTTTCAGCATGTTAAAAAAAAAAAAATCAAAGAAACTTGCAGAATAATCATTATCTTCTATAGTAAGACTAGGACTTGTGATCTCTTTAGGAAATAAAGTCAAATTAGTTGATTGATTCTGAAGGTCTCCATCCCAGTAACTAACACTAAGAAATCATTCAGCTTTCAACTTCAGGAACAAACCAGAGTGCGAACTAAACAACAGCAGCATGTTAGGTGTGACCAAGGATCTTCATCCTTTGTGCATGAAAGATGCAGGGCACCTTCTCATTTGAAATATCCAAGCTTTTAGTCCAGAAACAGTTAAGTACAGTAGTCTCTTTAATCTCCACAATCCCTCTAAGCAGACTGGGGAGACATACAGTTGGTGCACTGCAGTTAAAATACAGAAACAAGCCCTGCCTTTCACTATGCATTGTTCATTTAGCTCTGACAAGTGACACTATTCAACATGCCAACATTCGGTGACATTTCAGATATTTCGACATGGCTAACAGTACTGCGTTCCAGTAAACAGATTTAACTACAGTTTCACTGAGATACAGTGACCTAGATCCTTAAAGATACCTTTAGGTACCTAACCCAGTATTTTTAGTCCTATCTTACTCACTTAACTGAGAGCTGAATGATTTTAAAATGTTGTCATCCCCACCTGCGAACATGTCAGCACAGAGTGATGTGAATTGGATGGCACCGCAAGAGGTAGAGCAATGCTGCGTGCAGAGCCTACATGGGCTTGCAACCCACCCTGAACATTTATACCATGATAAACTGAGATAAACAAAACATACAGGAAAGAGAATGCGCTGGCATGTATTTGTAATAACAAAATACTGGCAATTAAAATTGGAGTCTTCCCAATCAGAGAAAATCTGTGATTTTTCTAAATCAGAGAAATAAAAGACAGACTATTTTGACTCTCCAAAAGGTAGACTTGGAACAGGAGCAGTATAAATATTGCTGACAGGTGCTTCCTTTGCTTTGCAACAAAGACTAAGCTGATTTCTTAAGCCTGAAAAGGAATGGGATCTTTTCAGCCAAAACCATTACAAAAGCTGATGGAAAAAGTCTCCAGTTTTTTTAAGATCTGTGTACTGTTGTACTTACGTTTCGGAGAGGCATGCGGGCTATCAGAAGCAATCTGTCTCATCCGTGTGCCATGGCAGCTGAGCGCAACCAGTCTGGAGATGATGGCCGTTTTTCCAAACCCAATGTTCCCAACAATCACTACACCTCGGTTGACGCTGGCGTTTGAACTCTGCAGCTGCGCATCTATCTCGTGGAACACCCAGTCCCGGCCAACGAAGACGGACTCGGTGGTGATGCTGGGCACCTCAAAGAGCAGCGGTTTCAGAGAGATGTCGGGAGGTCTATAAGGTGCGAAGCGTACTATATACAAGAAACACAGTGAAAGAACATAAACATCAATGCTAACAGTAAAACTATAGTTTGGAAATTGCTGTTTAATCTTCCTTAGAAATCTTTTCATTGCAAAAAGTGAAAAAAATACAAGCTTACTTATTACCCACAGGTTTGTTGTCAAAAGCATCTGGCTTATTTTCCACCATAGCATTTTCCACCAAAGGAGTTCAGAGAATTTTACAGGAAGAAGTAGTTTTACAGCTAGGGAAAGTGTAGCTGGAGAAATGAAATTTCTTGCTTAAAGTCACCATAATCAAAGGCCCTGCCACAGGCAGAACGGTACGCTTTCCAAGGCAGCTACCCCTGTGACGAAGTACTGTACGTCTGTTCAATATACAGATATATAATATGTCTGTTGAGCACAAAAAAAAAAAAATCTTAGCACTTAGAAGTGTTAAATCAATCTAAGCAAAGTTATTTCAACTCTTCCAAAGTATATAAATAAAACCAGATTGCTGATAGGATGTTCCTGTACGGCAATCAAAACATTTTCTCTTTTCACAAGGAAAAGCGGAGTGGCAAGCAACGTAAAGTTAACAAAGAGTGCAAGAAATACCTCCCCAACAGATCACATATGCTGGTGCAACACTAACACCTAAAAACAGGGGTATTGATCCTGTTACTTTTCCCATTTTTTTATGTGTTAGATTATAATAAAATTACAACTAAACCCAAACCAGCCTTGAAACCTTTTCAGGAACATTTGGGGGTGGAGGGAGAGGGTATTTGCCATTCTTTCCGTTTGGCACAAGCTATCTAGGGAACACACACCTAAAAAGAGTAACAATTATGCCCAGAGCCGGTGCACAGATGCGTTTAGAAAGATCAAGTCATATGGTGCATTCTGCCTATGAGATCCGTAATTGGAAGATGACACGTATAAATCTATAAAAAAAAAAATTTAAAAGTGATGGAAGCACTTTCTGCTGACAGAAACAGTTGCTGGATCTTCCCACTTTACCATCAAATTGGTTTCTTAATTAAAAACTTTCAGAAGGTGGCCGCAAAGCCAGCAGGTGATTCCCACTCAGGGGGAGGTTAGTCATCACATTGTGCGTTTTAGCTGCAAACTTTGAGTTTGAGAATATAATTCCTTCCAGTCAGGGCTAAGTGACATGGATAGAGCTACATCCATGGGAGACGATTTCAGACCTGGACCTGGTATGGCAGCTCTGAACACACCTTCCAACTGCAACACAAACACTGTACTTCACATTCAACACAGATATTTAAGCTGACGGGGTAAGCTGTGGAAAATTTGAGCTGTGGATCACAGAAGTTGAGTTCAATTTGTTTTGAGATCACACGGCATGCTGCAGACGAAAACAACCATACAAAATCTAGATGTCTCCATGGTGTATTTTAAAAGAAAATCCCATGAAGCCGCAGAGGAGGAGTTCCCCGAGCGGGACTGCAGAAGGATTTAAGTAAAAAAACCTATCAGTTTGCTCAGCGTTATCTCTTGGCACGATCACACTCCCATCATTTACATTAGCTGCTTCCAGTGGAGATGGTTTGGTTTCTTTGAAGTTTTAAAAGCCCTCAGACATTTAAAAAAGTACAAACAGCATTCAGCAACCGCTGACGTCTGCCATTTCTTCACTCGCGGCCGTGCGGGCGCTGGGGTACGGACCGTGCTACTGCACTAGGCTTTCCACTGAACTCATCAAAAATAGTTTATCTAATAACGACAGGGGGATGCTTTATCTACGTGGGAAGAAGTTATAGACGTGCTACCATCCTGAAGATCTCACTGTAAATATAAACACGCGGTTTTTGAACGGACCAGCGTGCCACGTCAAGCTCTGCGCTCCGGGATGAGCTCCGCTCCCAGTGGAATGAATCCCTCTGGAAGCTATGAACCCCACCAGTGCCCGCTCCCTCCCAGTCCCCCCCAACCACCCTCCCCTCCCTCTGAACCAGTCCAGCAGCAGAAGACCTGCTCCCCCTGCCCCAGTACACCCTGTGCCCCGACTCCAGCACTGCACTGGGACCCTCCCTGGGGAACCGCTGAACTGATGCCCGTGGCTCAAATCACCTTGAAATCCTTGGCAGACGTGACCAGGGAGCTGATCTGTTAAACCAGAGCCGCTAAAGGGGCTGGGATTTAATGTTACATCAGATGTGTCTAAGGAAAACAGCTTGTATTTAAAAATGTTAGGTATTTTGAATTTCCTTTTTTTTTTTTTAAACTGATACAGAAAATGCTGCAGACAGGAGCTGTATTTTTATTCCCACTTGAAAATGATGAATGTGCTTTAAATTTATCCTAGGGTGGAGATGCCTTTTGAATTGCATGAGCTCACAAGCAGCTCGTTTGATTCCCCTTGCTGGGGTCTGTCACGCGAGCGCAGCGGGATGCGCTGGCACAGGAAGATGCTGGAGAAGCAAAAATCGCTGGCGGTGGGAAGGGCCGAGGCAGCGAGGCTGCTGCCGCCAGCGGTGCCGAGGCAGCCCCGGGGGCCGCGCGTCCCCACGTCTCCATCGCAGCTCCTGGCTGCGGCAGCACCAGTCTGGCTCCTGGCGTCAGTGGGACCGATGGGCTTCCCACCAGCGGACGGCACATTGCAAGAGCAACAGCACACGGACGTGGCAGAGATAACCAGCTGGAGCGGTTCGATTGCATGCAAATTAAGCGTTCCAGCAGTGCATTTGACGAGGGAAAATTTTTGTTTGCATTATGCCGCCAATAGTATATATGGGAAATTAAATGAAAAAATTAAAAAAAAAAATCAAAAGACTCCATTTGGAAAACATCAAGCTAAGATTTGTGCTTGATAAGCTACAGCTTTGCTTTACTCGTGCGTGCGTGTATATACGTGATACATTGTGTTAGTGAGTGAAAATGCACAATAACACTCTTCTGAAAGCCAGAAGTCTAACAGGTACCAAATGGTCTTGGGGGCTAATGCAGAGACAAGACTGATTAAATATAAAAGCTATGGGATCCAATCAGGTCCTGCTTTACACAGTGGAGACCTGGACTCAAATCTTGGTTTCTTTTTAGAGGTGCGGATAGCTTTGAGGCTGTGTGACACCTAAACCTTTGACCACAACCCCAAACAGAAAAGGGATATCCTAAAGATCGGTCTTTATCCAAGTGCTAAAGAATGAATCATGAATATACACATCTTGGCTCTAACCTGGGAATAGCATACCCTGTCCTAAAAAAGGCTTAACAAAACCCTGAGAAGAGACATACCCACTTACCTACCTGTATCCAACCTTCCTCCCCTCCAGACCTCCCAACACCACCAGTCACTGCCAACAGCAAAGCAAACCTCCTCTCCTGCCAGCCTGGTGGGACATTTAATGACTTCAGGCTTTGTAACGTCAGGGCTCCCAGCGGGCGGAGGATGCTGGTAAGCATCTCGCCATTAAGAAAACCCTCAGTGCCACATTGGTTTGGACACGAGTGCTGAGAACACGCTGGTTGTCCCACCAGCCACCAAAATGACCTCCATGTGCCAGCAGAAGTCATTTTATTTCACCACGCCGTCTTTGGAAGAGAAATGCAGCATCAACGTTTTCCTAGCCGGACTGTCAAAAACGTTTATGAATAATTTAAGACTGCCATTGACTAATTGCAAGCCATGTGCCAGATCCTCATTAATTCCCGATACTGTCTGCTGAACCACGCCAAAATCCTCCCCTGTTACTATTTATTTTACAACCCTCAGCAGCCAGTGGTCCCCACGCACAGGCAGGCAAGGCACAAACCCAGGGGAAGACCCCGAAGCCCTGGGGGGATTCTTCAACTCTTTTCAAAGAGTTGAAAAAAATACCCCACACCTCAGGGAAAAGAGAACCAGAGAGAAGGAAGGCTGCACCACAGCTTCAACATTTGGGGCAGAAATTAATTAAAGGATAAGCTAATGGAAAGGGCGCTGAAAAAGAGGATGAGAAGGTTCAGAAGTATCGGGTGAGGATGTGCGCACACGTTTTGGATGAACCCTGTTAGCCACTTAACTTTAGTACTTGTGAAAATCAAAGTATGTGATTAAGCTGCCTTCCCATCCTTGAAACTTTGTCGAACACTTGCTGGCTTTTATATTCCTTTTTAATGAAGCATTTTATAGAACTTAAGCCAGAGTACCACAGAAATACCCCAAACTTCTGATAATATCTTAACATAAATTAAACCCATACTTTTCCTGGAAATCAGTGTGTGGAGTGGAACAGAATGAGGTCTGGTAGCGTAAAATTTTCATGAGAGTTGATGAAATACTGTGCAAACTTCTGTAGAGCGCAAGCAATAAATTCAAATCCCAAGCTGAAACACTGCCTACCATACCCATCCTGGCTCTTTTTTGTGGCTGAAAACTTCAATTAAATCAAACAAAAGCTGGTTGTATTAGGTGCACGACTGAAAAAAAGCCATTGGGCTGAAAACAAGCAGGAGCAAAGTCAGACAAAGGCCCATCCTGCTTTACCACATAGGTCACCCTCTGCTATATAAAGCAAATTTTTAGTTATTTTAGTTGTTGAAAGACTCTAAAAATGGCTGTTCAGAAATCATTTCTTTACAGAGTCCCCTCTCTTCAAACAGGAATCTTTTCTCAGCTACGCTGGCAATCAGCATCCACAGCTCATTAGTTGGTTTACATTTTGTTCTAGATGTGTTTTGTTGCCATTTTAGTATCCCCTGGTGGAAGATACATCTTGCTGCCCAAAGAAAGCCCTTACAGGGCTAAGCTGCATAGCCTGCATATTGCCAATATGTTGAGAGGAAGCCCAGGTGAGAAGCGCTTTAGTATTTATCACAATGAAATGCAGTTCTGAATAACACAGTATCAATCAGCATCTGCTGTGTCCTTCGTTAAATAAGAACCCATAAATGAGCCAAACGTCTGAGTTTATTTCCTTTTCTAGCTTTAGACTGCAACTTCTTTCAAGTGTCATCTTAAATCTATACATCCATCAGGATGAAACCAGTGCCTGTTTTTCATAGACCGTGTGCCTAAAAAGTCTAAACTATTTTGTAGCATTTTTAAAAAGTGTGTGAAACTCTCATACCCAAAAGGTTAAACACATACCATGAGGAAAAACACCCCAGAAAATTATAGGAGACAGTTTAAGGAAAACATGCTACTGCCGTATTGCTTATATTGGTAAACAATATATTGATGGAGTCTGAACCATCCTCTTCTTCACTCCAAACCTCACCTAAACACCAGGGTTCTTCACACCCTGCATCAACGCTGACATTTGCTTTTTGGAGAAAAAAAAAAACCAGTCATGATGGTAACAGTCGGGGTGTTCTAATACCATATAATTTGGTTGCCATCTGGCTCCTGCTCCACGGTACATCACAGCCATCATCTTGTACTTTGGGTTACAGCAACCCTGAACAGCTTCAAATCCCGCTGGCTGAAAATAGTAAAAGCAAAAATTGCGTTCACCGCCCTATTAAAAACCTGCCGTTGGTACGAATACTTGTCATGCTTTTAGCCGTTGGGATTGCTGAATTACTCCCCTGGTTAAAATAACTGATTTAATAAAAAATAGCAGGGACAGTCTCCCATTTAGTTTCTCTGCACTGGGATTCTTGAACACTGGGAACAAACCAGTGGGCTGTAACGTGTCCCCCTGATACAGGGCCAGGAATTGCTTCGCTATTTCAGCCCAGTGCCAAGACTAGATTTAAAGTTAAACCCGAGTTTAGGATTTCCAGTTGGAACAAAGAGTTGGTGATTATAACAGCCCAGATCGATGCAATTTCACAGTAATATCTGGAACATGTATGTATTTGGGGGGAAAAAACCCTCACATATTCAATGAAATGAAAATATTTCCAGATAGTGGTGGTTTGGTTTTTTCACATCTTCTTCTTCTCCCTCTCTTTTTAAAAATAGCATGGCACCTCAATTAGGATCAGAAGCAAATTCCAAAAAATTGAAACACTACTGCTATTCTCATGCAACCTTCACAAAAAAGGAAAAAAAAAAGAAGAAAAAGAAGAAAGAAAATATGTAGTGCTACATGGTTTTTAAAAGTGTGTCTGGAAAACAATTTGATTCTGTTCCTACAATAAAGTTTAATGTTTTGGATGCAATCACTGCAAATTACGAAGCCTTGGCAAGCTACTCTGTTCGAACATATGGAAATTTTGTCTGTCAAACTTTGCTTTCTTCACTTACTGCCTGCTAATACATTTTTATAACTGCCTCACCAGCCAATATGATTTCATTACAGACTGCAATCCAAAGCGACACAAACCCACTTTTTTTCTTCCAGTTGAGGGCTCATGTATATGGTAGAAATCCCAACCAGGCTGTAACAGGTCGTGCTTGTGGTGCTGAGCAAAAACCCAACCTGTCACCCTCCGGCTCCTGATTTCCTTACCTGAGGATGGTGGGCACTTGCTCAAAAAAAACCCCAGATAAAAAAAATGTTTAATGTACCACCAACTGAAACCCCTCTCCCTATGTACAGTGGAGAACAAACTAGTCTCATGGCACAGCAATGACCAGAAAAAATCCCAAACGAGCTTTCTCAGCCATTTACTCATTTGTGCAATGGCAAATGATGGGGATGAAGCGTTAACCTGGCGATCTGCTGCAGATGCAGGGCTGTCACGGTGATTGCTTGTGGATGCAGCCAAAGACCATGCCCAGATTAAAAGGGGGATGGAAGTTGTAGGGTGGGCTGAAACCCCCAAGGACATGAGGTGAATCTAGCTGGAGTTGCCTGGAAATAAACAAAATACTAAAATGTCAGCCCTGGCTCCTCTTCTCATTGCTAACGTCTTTTTTTGTGCAATTTGCCAGGACGAACCACAAAAATTTCCCCTCTCAAAAGGCCTTTCAGAAGAAAAAGGGCTGCCTGAATACTGGCATTGTGAGTGCCTGTAAGAGGGATGCGGCAGGATGGTGGCCCCGCACACTGTGCTTGGCTCCTTCCCTACCGGTACGCTGCAAACTGCAAAGCTGGGGCTGTAATCCTTTGCTTTTGTTTCAAAAAAGAAGAAAAAAAAAAGAGTAGCCTATCAAAATTTCTCATTTTTTTTAGAAACTATCAAAGTATTAGCCCTGCAGTGCTCAGAGACTGACAGAGGGCTGGGTAGGGGAGCAGTCAGGGAGAGGAATTTGGGGATCTTTTGCAGGAATACCCTTATGTGATATAGGGGTGGATGTATAGGTTCAGTCCCAGGCCGTCCGTAGGCACACACAGCCCATCCCATCACCCCAGACGTGGCTGCCAGGCTCAGGGAAGGCAGCACCCTCGGCAAGCTGAACACGGAGGAGATGGCCATCACCCCGCCTCGGGGCGCAGAGCGGCTCTGGAAGCCAGCGCAGGGGCTGGTTTTAACGTACAATTTGCTGATTTGTATGCGTGTTCCTGAAAAATGAGGCTGCTCAGACTTTGGGCCAACTCGGTAATACAATTCCTCTACAATCCATTTTTACACCATGGCTACGTACAGCGTGCTTCTGGCAAACCAGACGTTTAAGTCAGCCCAGAAAAGCAACCCCAAAATGTTACGCTGACGGCACTTCACCGATCACGGAGCAGTGGGGCACCATCCAGCTAACTACCACCAGACAGAAGGCAGGAATACTTCCTTCATCACTTCATTTATTTTCTTTCCCCTCCGATCTGGCCATGCCACCACGGACACTGCCAATAAAGGAGACTGCTTCACATCCTCACGGAGAGGCAGCGCTTAATACCCGTCCGTAAAACAGTCCTGCTCCAGGATTTTCGTAAGGATGTAGACGTAAGCGGCTGCCGGACGAGCTCCCAGCCCCGAGAGCCCCGTGAAACGCGAGCCCCGAAGCCCCCGGCACGCTCCTACCTCGCAGGTCCTGCTGCGTGCGGGCTCCGGCCATGCTCTGCCGCGGCATTCGGAGGGATGTCCGCAGGGGAGTGTGTCGCTGCTCGTCCAGGTAAGCGAGATCTTCTAAGTGGGCTGAGCTGGTGGCTGCCATGAGAAAGCAAACAACAACATCACAACCTGGCTTTTTGGATCTAATACTCTGGTTATTGGGGTTTTCGGTTTTTTTAAACAAAATACGCAGAGTTGTAACTACATTGAGTCAACACGGCTAAGACGATCCAAGTCTAATTTCCCCTAGCGCGGAGTAAAGAAGTGTTGGGTAACTTCTTCTCGTGCCCCATCGGTATTTGCTCAGTTTGGTCTGCTGTTGATTTTCACAAATAAAAAAAACCACACGGAAAATGGATGCACTGGGCCTCTCATACCTGATCTAAGTTCTCCCATCACAAAACTCACTCAATTGCCTGTGTGCAAAGCTTGACGGATACAGTCGACATTTCCTACTATGTAAGACAACTCAATACCGCATTTTATGCTGAAGCCCACAATCTCCCCTTCAATTATTTTAGAGCTACTTAGTTTGGATATTAACATTTATCTGTTCATAAAGCCAGAATTTGTGGCAGAAAAATAAAACTTTCAACAGACCAGCAAAAATACATGAATAAATGAGAAAAATGTTATCTGAACTAAAGAAGATAACTTTACTATTCCAGTGTTACTTGCTCATGGGAGAATTTAGTTTTCTTTACAATGCTAGATCAAATAGGAATAATTTATCGGTTTTTTTCTGAAGGTGCCATCACTACACAAATAAGCATGGCTGGAGCGGAAACTGTAGCTAGAAACTTTATCTCTCTCTCTCGGAAACTGGCAGATAATACAGTGCAAGTTATTTTTTATTCCATTTTTCAACTGAAGCACATGGACCATCCCACCACTAGCCGAGCGCACACCTCCAGAATACCAGGCTACTTCTGTGGGGCAAAGCTACGAGCAGTGATCCCCACGGCATTACAGGAAAAAACAGCAAATCGGTTAAGAAGCACAAAGGGTACAACCACTTGATTTTGAAGGTATTTCTCTCCAAATCCCATGGCTTCAAGCATCACCTCACATGGAGCATTTCCTACCAAGATGTGCCATTTACAGCGATCGTTTCCATGACCAGTTTTTAAGCAACACTTCTTCCACAGCTGCCTGACGATTACGAATATTTTTAAAATCTAATTTCATAATTGGTGCTGCACAGTTAGGTGGGAAATGCCTCCGGAACATATCAGAGGGGAATGACTAGAGTTAACACTGGCCACAAAGCTGCAGCAATCAATTTTTTATTTTATTGGTGATGATTGGAACATAGGAGAAAATGTGGTTTAAACAAAATAAATTTGGATCACTTGCATCTGAATTTACCCACTATTCTGCCATGTCAGAACCCTTTTCAGCCAAGTAATTTACAGAATATTATAAAACAAAGTTATGAAAACTCCACTGCATGAAATAATCTTTCCAATTATAAACAGAAAACTTAAAAATAGTCTTTGCAGATCACCAGCTCTGTTCTTGTTCTGATAACCATTTCCAAAATTCACATTAAACATTTACCAGTGGAAATCATGCTGCTCAGTATTGGGCTGCTCAGTACTCTGCATCCAAAACTGCTTTTTTTCTTTAGTTTTTGGTCAATTACCATAACAAGATTATTATTTTAAATTGAACTAATTCATTAAATGACTTCTTCAAAGACTGCCTGTGAAGCTGACATTAATTCTTCACTGTGAAATGGGTAAATATTTGGGTATAGCTCTCTAGAGTAGCTCACAGCACTGGACTTCGAATCCTTCCTCCTTACCACCCAACACAAGACATAACAATTCAACAAAACTGAAAGGCAGAAATTTCAAAACTAAGAGAAACATCTTTTTCATACAATGCCTAATGGCCATGTAATAATCTTTACCAGATTGTGTTGCAGTCATAAACTAAGCAAGATTGAGAGACTCTAACAAGGGGTGGGGAGACGAGGCTTAAATTCAGCAGTGATTTTTAATGCTGTTCTTCACATTGCCTGAACTCTCTATATAAGTTTTCAGAAAAAGAGAGACAGAGAGAGGACAAAAGGTAAGCAACAGCAGCGAGAAAAAAAGAGGAGATAAAACCATCAAAGTCTGTTTTTAGAAGGCCTTCATGCTCTTCTACTCTTGTAAAGTTGATGAGATGTTCACTGTGAAGGAGCAGATTAGAGCTGAAATGCCGCAATTAGAAAGATGTGGTTTTAGCGTGGATGCAAGTTATTTTCTGTAAGCACTAAACCCACCGCAGCCTGCTCCCAGCACCTCCAGCATTCAGCTTCAGGTTTCACTTATACTATGGTGGCACAGGCCAATGAAACGTGCCTTTTCCATAAAACGTGTGCAATTTCTGTCCGCTTTTTGCTGTGTAACCGAGTCGGAGGATCTCCAGTGGCAGAGCAGATGTTACTGCAGCGATCGCAGGCAGACCCAGAGTATCCCGGGGGTATCTATCCAGGGACACAAACCAAAAACTTGCCCAGGAGCCTGGTACCACGTCAGGCAGGTCGGTCCTTCCCACGTCAGCCTTCATCCCACCATCCACGCCAGCGTCAGCTGGACTATGCCTATACATTTGATACAGTCCCACACGTGGCTGCTGACTTTCTCATGAAAAGTAGGACCTTAACAGATAATCATTTCTTGTTAAATAAAAATCCCTCTTCACCCCAGCTGATTGTCAGGCAACAAGATAAAAAGCAGCCAGACAGGATTGCCTAGCACTGGCTAGTGCATTTAGGATGTGCTGAAAATCCACACCAGAAACAGCCCTAATTGATCCTGGGAGAGTTTAGAAGGGGAATATATTCAGGCAAAGGAGACCGCCTTTAAAAAAAAAATAAATAAAAAAAAAAAATAAATAAAAAAAAAAATCAAAGTCTGAATGCTTTTCTTTTATATTTGTAAATGACACTGCAGTAAGCTTATGCAGACCATTACATTAGGATAAGCATCATCATCCTTTCCAGGCATATCTTCTACCCTTGAATGGGAGTTATTAATGCGTTACACACAGAGCTCAGCAGTTTTGCTGCGCCAAGGCTTCGTCACATACAATAAACAAACTTGCCGGCTGAAAGAACTACTGTTTCTTTGTGAAGACACTACGCTTTTTCTTTACTGAATTCTGTTAAATACCCTCATGACTTCAGTTCAAGTTACCCCGTTGAAGCTGCTCCTGCTTCTCTGAAAAAAAGGAAAGAAAACAAAACTCCCCATATCGGACTTGCTGCTAAATATATATATATGTGTGTGTGTGTGTGTATATATATATATATGAGACAGTGTG